TTTGACATACCCCATTTAAGCAACAGTTCACATCACTACCAAGCAAGAAATAATCTACTTTTCTGATTAAACATTACCACCAAAACTTTTGTCTGTTTATCTTCCATTTTCATTCATCTCATTCACTCTATATTTTTCCCCTGTCCGCTACTCTGCAGTCTGATAACTACTATGCTAAGCTTAAATAATTGTTACCATAAATTTATTTTACTGCACAAACATAACCATGGCAACGATCTTCTCATCAAACTCTGCAAGAGAAGAACCGACATATTCGCAACAGTTTCTCCAAAGAGCAAGGTTATGTTTGCCTGTGTTCCTTTTGCACATCTGTACACAAACACCCCCCGACACACACACACAGGCACAAACACACACAAAAACACCAATGACCAATTAAATTGCACAGCATTAGAGACATTAGAGCAGGTGAATTAAGAGACTATGGTAAACAACATGTACTAACCTGAACTTGGATTTGGAGATCCTAATTCTGGAACACAGAAAACAGAATGGATTATACATACACACATAACACACATATAGACAGGTGCACATGAAAGGGGTGATTTGAGAGGGATAAAGGGGAATAGCTTCCCTTATTATCACAAATGTCTTGGCATATGTTTCTTGATCAACCTCAAACATTCCCCGATACGCAAGCACAAAAACTGCTGATTCTCTCCACAGGATGATCAAAGAACATATCTGCTTTTAACAAAAAAAAAACAAAAAACGGCCTGTCCATTTTTATGCACCCACTGGGAACAGATTTTGGGTACAATATAACAAAATGCACTTTGCCGTTATATTTCCTGCTTTTCTCTTGAACAAATCACCCCCAAACACACATACAGTGGCATCCAGTCAAAAGAAAGCAAACTGCGAGTTTGAATTTCCTTCAATCAATCCTGGTGTGAAAAAGAAACGTCATTTATTATTGTAACAAAATGTCTGTTGATTGTTCACCACTGTAACGGGAAAAAGTACAACATGGATAACTGAGGACAAGAGATTATGGAAGACATTTTGAGAGAAGAGTCCCCATGGTGGAAAAATTTTAATCTAAAAAATAAAACTAAAAAAAAAAAAGAATCACTCAATTTATGACTTTAAATATTTAATTTGATCACAAATCTGTGGGGATGCTGAATGACCACGATTAGTTTAACTATATCCACATTTTTAAAAAGATCTGAAAATTTTATGGTCCCCATGAAACTTTCCTTGGATTGTTTTCACTGACTACTCTGATGTTGGTAAAAGCAGATAAATAAACCGACGAGCTCACTGACCGAAGCAATGAAATGTTTTCACTGACTGACTGAACAAAAGACTAAACTGACTGACTGGCTGGATATGGGAGCTGATAGGACACACATCTCTTGTCTTCATGTGTCCGTCTTGATTACGAGACCAGTGGGTGCTAAAGTAGCTTGTACTGTGAGGAACAGCTCCATGCCGATGTGAAGAAGAACTGACATACTCTGAAGTCTTTCCTCCGGAATACTGGGAGGAATGCTCCATGTCAAATTTGTTGAAATCTCACAGAGAAAGAATAAGGGGCTATATTTCTAGTCCTGGCAGGGTACACTACATATCATTCTCTGGATATGTGAATTTAAATGAAACGTTATGAATGGTAACACCAAGGGCATTACTGATCGCCAAGAAAACAACATAATAAAACAAATATTATGTCATTTATTTCCTAAATATTCTGACCCGTCTAATCCTTAGCATATCAGCTAATGCGGTTTGGTTAAAACTGCTGGAGTAGCAGAACTCCTGAGCCTATAAATATAGTTTAAAATATATAAACACAGTCCAAGATTAAAAAAAGAAACCAAATCAGCAAATGAAAGTTCAAGCAAGATATAAATGACTTTAGCCACAGCCACTTACACTATGTGGACAAAAGTATTTGGCCACACATCTTAATCTCTGAATTAAAAGCACCTAGCCATGCAGGTTGCCTTTAAAACATTTGTGAAAGAATGGTTGTTCTAAAAAGATCACTGAATTCAACCATGGTACCATAATAGAAAGCCACTGTTGCAACAAGTGAGCTTGTAAAAAATTTTTCTTTCTAGATATTTCACATTGAACTAAAAGTGGTGTTATTGCAAACTGGGAGAATTTAGAAACTGCAGCCATAAAGCGGCAGACCATGAACGAGTGCGGAGGTGTGTAGTGTGCAAAAGTCACCAACACCCTGCTGACTCAACACTTGCAGAATTCCAAACCTCCTCTGGCATTAAAATCAGTACAGATACTGTACACTTGGAGCTTCATGGCATGGATGTCCATAGCCTGTAGTGCCTGGGATGAGGATGTATTGCAATACATCATCTTTATTACACTGACTGGCAACGTGAGTAGTTGGAAAAACCGTTACGTAGCCAATAATAATATTTAATTTAAAAAAAACTTAATCCAGAACTGCATGTCCTCACAGGTTAGTGGTGACTAAAGTGAGGCAACATAGCCAATCAAATAATTGTCTAATTATAAATTTTAGTAAAGGAAAGAGACATCTGTGTTCTTGAACAAAAGAGCAGAACCTTTTTACTACTTTATGACAACAAAGAAAAAGAAACTGTGAAAAAGAAAAAAAGTAATGTCGTGAAATGTAATAGAAAATTAGTTTACTTACAAAATTCATTTGTAAGTATCAAATTGCTGGTTTCTTATTTATTTGGCATTTCATTATTCCATGTTTCATTTCTGGTTCCAGCTTAAGCCTCACATATAACATACCCTTTTATTTTTTTTTATTTTAGCCTGACAGATCACAAATAAACACATACAACATAACAAAGATGAAATAACAGATGGACAGTGAGACTACAGATAAACAACAGCGTGCCATCCACGTGTGCCAACTAGCCTTATCGCTCCTGCGGTTGAGAGTGAATCAGTTTAAATTTAAGATTAAAGTTTCTGTGTGATGCATTTCTGCTCGTGAGCAACAGTTTTTTATGCAGGTGTGTTTGCATGTGTGTACTGAAATAAGTCTGCTGGGGTCGCGGCCCCTGTGCTGTCTTGTGTCTAAGAAAGAAAGCAACACATTTGTTTGAATAATGTAAAAAATGAAAGCAGAGCGGGAAGCGGGAATGAATGAGTCAGCTGTTTGTGAGCTCCCACAGGGGCGGAAGAAAGCACTTCAACAGCTAACACAGAAAAGTGGGTAGAGAGGGAGAGAACGGAAACTCAGAGAGAGATGAAAGAAAAAATAAAGACGGAATACTATTAGATGTAGTTAGGATGTCTTGCTTTTCAAAATTCATTAGCTCCCAAGCAATGATTGGCTTTGTCCTTGTACCATGTGTAGCAGTTGTGTGCACTCACTACCCAACTAGATAAACTTAAAAACTGTGTTCAAATGATAAACCTCTAGTTCGCAAACTGATAGCAATAGTACATTTCATAATTGTGATATGAGGAAAACAACCATAAAACGAGATTAAAATCATTTTTTAACTGGAACTGCGATCTAGCAACTAGTTTTTGCTCCCTCAATTTTCTTGCTTAGCAACAGTTTGCCGACAGAAAGTGGAAAAAAGGGCAGTTGGCACAGCACTACTAATAAACTAGCAAGTTAAAAAAAAAAAAAAAACACTTCCAGGAGCAGCTCTGATTAGTTCCCCTTCAGATCTATCCAATTTTACTCTAACAGAACTTTATCCATGTGGAATATATTGACAGCTTTGTGCTACTGTAGTCTAACAGACTTGTGAGATCAGTAAAGTATATAAGTAATCTGAGGCAATTCTTCCATGCACAATACTGCAGGATGCAATCTGTCCTTAAACCTGACAAAAGATGGGTGAGAAAGCTGAGGAAAAGAAGGAGGAGAAAAGGTGTGTCTGTGAAAGACGGTGAGATACTTACGCCAGCCGGGTACAGCAGGTCTCACCCTCTACGTCTCCCCCGGGGGCGTTGTCTGTGTTGACTGATTCATTCTCGCTGGCTGGCATGCTCACTGAGAGACAGAGATGAGCAGCAGCAGAGAAAGGGAAAAAAAATTGACAGATGTGGAGAGAAACAGAAAGAGAGATGAATTAACCAGAAGGAGAAATGGGTCGGACATCATAATTATGCAACGGAAAACACTGTAGAATTTTACAGGTGCAAGACAACACACTTGAGAGCTACAAAGTGCAACCAGTGTTCAGGTAGCGAGGAGCACTGGACACTTGGTTGGTGTTAAACATTTGATCTTTATCGGAGTTATCTTGCACCAGCATACAAGCTAATTAAAACCACTGTTGAAGTATAGGTATGAAAAAGTCAGCATTATTCAATCCTGCTAATTAAGGCACACGGCTACACACATACCCTAGAGTCAATAAAACCATTCCCAAATTTTGCACTGATTGCCCACACTAATTACACACTAAGTTGCCAGTTAGGAATCCTGGGACACAAACCTTGCAACCTTGTTAGTTTGTGGTGCTAAACCAAAGTAATATAATTCCACAGCTTAATGCCTAAAGCTAAAAAGGTAGCACAGACACAACACTTGAGGAAAAGGTTGACTAATTCTAATTTTGCCAATTGCTGCTGTGGTGAATGAAACTAAGCTGAAGCATTAGCATGCTTATTGACATCGCCACAATTTTTGAAATTAGTCAACCATTTCTGTGCTCGATTTTAACTTTTGGGTATTCAACATTGGGGCTATTTAGAAGGATTTCCATTTTCAAGCTGGGGGATTGCTTTACTTTGAGGGGATTAAAACTTGATAAAAATCTATTTGTGATTTCAAGACCTAAAGAGTTGGGGAAAAAAGATGTCAATCTGTAGTCTACAGATGGTGTGTGGGGAGGGGATTGGTCTTTAAAAACAACCAAACTATTAAAAACAAAAAGTACAGTTTTACTCCTCGCCGCAGTGATAATTTTGCAGATTTGCAAACAGGTGGAAAGCTTTTTCTTTGTTTATATAAATCACAAGTACACTGCAAATGTGGCACTTTGTCCTTAGGCAGGAGTAATATAAATTGGCAGGTAAGGATGGAATAGAAGAAAAAATGAAGGAAAATAGAAAGGCAGGATTGGAGGGCGAAAGTAATGGAGGCACTGAGGGAGGTATGGTTAGCGGGAGAGAGGGGAGAAAAGAATGTGGGGATGGCTGCTGGAGAGATTGATATGAAGTGATACATTGGTTTTTATTGCTTCTGTCAGTCTTTGCCTGCTGGCGGGAATGAGCTGCGTTCCCCTTACTGTCACCTCAAACACTTATTGTAACACCCTCTGGGCACCAGAGCCAGGTACTGCATATGAATATCAATGCCTCTTTTGTTAAAATAAGATATCTTCAGTAAAACCTACTGGTGCAAATGATCTTACAGCATGAAACCAAATAATATGATCAGCACTTAACCACGACCCTCTCAAAAAACCTGCAAACAAACCCCAATTTTAAAAAAAAGAAGATATTAATAATGTTATTCTGACTGGGATTATCTTTTTCATTTACTCATTGATTCTGGGCCAAAAAGTCCAGTTACATGTATTCCTGCATTTTGTTGGTCTTTTGTGCAGATTTGCTACTGAAACTTGAGAAATCCACCAGGCGAGGTCATGAAGTCATGTTTAGAAAATTACTCCAAAGTATGTATGTAAGTATGCATTTCAGCCCAGAGAACTGCTGCTGGATATTTCTTCTTTTTCTAACCATTTTCTGTAAACTCTAGTGATGGTTGTGCAGGAAGATACCAGTAAATCAGCAGGTTTCTGAAATACTCAGACTAACCTGTTCAGCACAGAACAACCACTGCATGTTGAAAGTCACATAAATCCCCATTTTTTTCCATTCTGATGCTCAGTTTGAACTTTAGCAGGTTGTCTTGATCATGCCCGCATGCTTAAAAGCATTGAGTTGCTGTCTTGTCATTGGCTGATTAGATATGTGTGTACCTATCAGAATGGCCAGTGAGTGTATCTTTCTGAGCCAAAGGAATCTGTTTGCATTATGTGGTTATCCCAAGAGATGGCTTGTAAGCCCAATGATGTGTCAAAGTAAGCTACAGTGAGTGAACAGTGCATTAGGTTACTGTACTTTGACACATGGTTAGGGATGAACGGGTTTAGTGCTGTAGAGATCACGATGGTCTGTCTCAACTTGAATACCTCTGCCATGAACACGCTGTGTGTTTCTTCACCTCGACACGTGCCACCTGCTGCTATGCTACTTAGTTAAAAGCACTCAGGGCCCTCTGGTCTCTCCTGAGGCTAAAAGCCTTTCAAATATAAAAGCAGCCTGGTGCCTTCCCCTCAATGGAGCGCTGAACTAGTTTAATGCCTATTGTTAGAGTAAAACCCCAAAGACCTGAGACACAGAGACAGGGAAGGAGATGAAGAAGGAAAAGGAACATATAGTATTGAAAGGAGGGGCAGAGGAGGGAAGACAGGAAGACAGAAAAGTGATAGAACAGAAAGTGTTGGCATGTGTTGGTGAGCTTGAACATGAACTCACGGCGCTATTTCTGGGAAAAAAAAAGCATCCTCCACAACAATTTGTTTTTATGACAGCGTCTAGTGTTTGTTTTGGTGTTTTTGTCAGCAAACTAAAACAGATTTTATTTCCAGTCACAAAAATGAAAAATATATTTAATTTAAAATGTCACACAAACCCCCCAAAAGACGCTGAATTCTACTTTGTATCATTGTCTTAATAATGACAACACAAATCTTTTCATGCAGGCTTTTGGTAATTTGATTTTATAAAAATGTTAAATTTCTCATTTCAAAGCTGTTTCTCCACTGTGTTTCATTATTGCAGCTAGCAAGGCTAATAGTGATGCAGGAGGGGGGCGGGGGGACTTTAGGGAAAGGAATCTGAAAAACCAAGGAGAGGACTCTGACATCACTAACAATAGTAAGAACAGTGTTTTTTATGAGTCGTGTGGTACGAAACCATCACTCCAGTTGTTTTCTGTGATGACATCCTCTTGTTATTTTTTCAGACAAGTCAGGCAGATGCAGATCCTTTCCTACAAAAGTTGTTTCATCTCAGCACAGTAATGTTATTTCTCTCCTTGTATCCCTATTCCCTGGACTTTGAGGTTGTTTTTTTTTGTTTTTTTTACATTTTGGATGTACTCAAGTAATTTAAAGGGCCATGAAACACTGTAAAGATTTTAATGTAATAAAGACATGCAATTTTGCCAGCAGCAGGGGTAGTTATCAGGGGGAAAATTCCATGTCTCCACTGTCGGAGGATATTCATATATATGGCCCTCATATTTAATCATCATTCAGTGGTTGGTGCATGAAAAAGGGTAAGGAAGAGAATAAACTACTTTACAGTGTTGAGAGGCAGCTGATCCCCACTCTGGAGGCTGCAGAGAAAGATGCTTACTCCACTGGAGGGGGAGTGGATAAAAAGGGGAGGAAGAGAGGCATCGGAAAGTGGGGAGTATAGGTGAGCAGAGAGGTTGCAATCTGCTTGCATGTCTAGAATCCAGTAAAGCTTTAACTAGTGCTGGACCATGCAGACAGACGCACACGCCTTACGAAGGAAAGCCGCATTTTTCTTCACGGCTCCACGCAGGGACAGAAAATGATGGCTCTTACCTGGGGATAGAGAGCACGGCTCAGCAAGACAGACCAATATACACGCACACACACACAAACACTAACATGAAGCGTTCACACAAGTATGCTCATATATACCAAAATACGCACAAAGAACTATGAATTCTTCTGGGAAAATGGCATTCCCTCTTTGCAGTCACACCTCATTTCATTACTGCAGGTACAGAGTACTAACATTACCGGCATTACTGGCACAAAATCACTCATGTCTGTTTCTCTCCTGTACCGCTTAATCTTTTAATCTCCACATGCTGGGTAAAGGTACATATTTGAACCCAAATCACAATCTTTTCTCAAATCTAGCCAGGTAGCGAATGAAAACAAATGTAAAAAGGCAGGTTAAAAAGAGATGGTGACTGAGAACAAAGTGTATTGAAAAATTTCTGTTGTTTCGCTCCGCATAGTGAGATGCCACAGAGTAGTAGCCTGAACATCTTTCTTTTTCGTCACATCCTCCACAAACTCTTTAGGAGTCTGGTGTGTTTCCAGGACAGATGGGATTGTATCACTCTACTATTAAGGAGGCATCCTAACCAGAAGCCCTGCAGATCAAAAATAATTACAACTGAAAACATTTTAATGTATACATGCCTAATCCTAAACTGGATAGACATCGGAGCACAAGTCAAAGAACAGACACATACAGTACATGATCCTAACAGTCAGTGGAATGACTGGACCAGGCATGCATACTGGTCTTGTTTCTCAAGTAGGCTAGAAATTATTTTAACACACACAGGAAGGACAACAAAAGAAGAAGACAGAATGTAAGAACAAGATAGCAATGAAAGCATGCAAGACTGGCACTTCTGCTGTGTGCCTTAAACTACCTGCTTCCATAAAAATCTATCCTCCATTCCATGTGTTCCAAATCAATCCCATATCTTCCAGCTCTCTGTACCTCTTGGCTAGCCCTCCGTTGACCTGGCAGGGTGGTGGGTGACCATTCGGCCAATGCTGTCTGTAGCATTTTGGGTGTGCTGTGGTGGATCGGATTCTCCAGTTTCTGGTTGATTGGGAAGGGTATGATTCCTTCATCCAACAAGTGTTACAGGGTTTGGAAGTTTTGAGTTTTGGCAGTTGAGACTCTTAAGACAAAGACTCTATTGTGGGAAACCCGGGAATTTCTTCTTATACTGTCCAGTGAGGCCAAAAGGGAAAGCCTACCAGTAAATGTAGAGATACTAGTGAGCAGTATTTAACTAAAAGCCATTCCCTGCATGTTTTTGTCAGCCAGTCTTTGTTTTAATCAGGATACACTGTCTCGCTGAGCTATAGTTGACTCTGGAACTAAACAAAGCCTGTTACCAAATCAACTGTTTCCTGCCCAAACGGCCAGGTTGCAAAGGGGATAGCTGGAGAGATAACCATACCTTCTGTGTATTAGCACCTTTACCACTGTCTATATTGGAAGCAGACAAAAGCAGCATGAACTTCAGAGCAAAATCAACACCTTGATGACTATCAGAGGGCCCCCTGCCCCACAATATACTGAAAGCCAGAGAGTTTGGTTGTCTTCTAGAGACCTCTTAAAATCCACTTCCAAGAAGTTAGGTCCTCTTCCGGGGACACACCAATAGTGTTTCCAAGCCAACTGAGAAACATAATCTCAGCATGCCTATTTTGTTTGTTTTTAAGATGATTTCTTAAGTTGTGGTTTACAGCAAAAATCCTTCCTGAAGTGAAATGCATATTTACCATGTCACAGTGTAAGATCTATCAAACCATTTTTGCAGTAGCAGCTAAAAGCAAGCAACATTTATAACACTGGCGCCACTGTAAAATGGACATTAGAGCATCATTCCCACAGCATCAAATGCTGCTGGGGTTTTTTTTTCAGTGCCAGCACACCTCACAGATAATCAGCTGTCCTTTGGTATCTGTGCTATGGAGCACTGGGTCTGTCACATAATGTTTGCAAAGGACCTCATATCACTGCATTTAAACATGCTGGGCAAATACAACATTTTTCAAGGTGTAGCATTAAATCGCAAATTCCAATCTTTTGTTAAACCTAAACAGGCAGCGAGTGAAAACTAACGTCAAAAGCAGGTTTAAAGGAGAAAAAACAAGACTGAAAACCAGGAGGCTGTGATCTCCTGGTTAACAAACCTGTGATTTATTTCACCACAACAACTCAAACGTCCTAATGTGGACATCTTTCACCGCTCTGTGTTTATTGTAGGACACATCTTTGCGTATCAATCTCAGACAAGGAGAATCGGACAAAACGGCAGTATTTGACATCCCTGGATGAGACTGCATTGCAAGATAAATTGAAAATTTCTGTTTTATTACTCCACACAGCGGGAAGCCACAGAGCAGTCACATCCTCTACAAATCTTTAGGGGATCGGTGCATTTCCAGGATAGATGCAATATACTGTATCACTGCACCATCAAGAAGGCATCCCAAACAGAAGCCATGTAGACCAAATGTAATTACAACCACTTTTGGTGTACACAGGCCTAATCACAACCGGAATTACATGGAAGCACATGTCAACGCCACAGAGGATACACAAACACCATCCTGACAGTCAGGAGAATGACTGGATCAGACATGCATACTGGTCTTGCTTCTCAGGTGGGCTGGAGACACTCCTAACACAAACAGCAAGGACAACAAAACACGATGACAGCATGCAAGAACAAGATGGTAGACAGCAACAGCACGGAAGACATGCATACAGACTATGCCCTTGAGATGACAGAAAACACACATATTTTACATATATTATACTTGACATCATCAACTTCTCATATCCATAATATTGAATATGATGTTAGTGCAGCCCTGTTGCACTGCAAGCCTAATCTTCTTTGGGAGCCTCATGTTAGAACATCATGAGACAGCAGGGTTGTCCAGCGATGATGCTGATTTAACCTGAACAGCAAGTCTAGTGAATATCGAGGGAATTTATAGGCAGTCCATGGGGTGTCATGTGACTTCTGCACACCCTGCTCAGGACTATCTACAGCAGTAATGCACGTGAAGCAAACCTCTGCTGCTGCTGTGTGCCACATGTCATAAAAGGCAACTTCGGACAATCCCCTAACCTGATTTTCTAGATATTGTCTGGAGTCCGTGTACACTCTGCAGTCCTAACACTGTCTGAACATCTACTTTCCCCTTTTCATCTATTCTACTCTCTGAGTCTCCTATCGCTTCTTACGACACACATTTATGTGAGCTGTGCATGCATGAGCTGATGCAAAATGTCCTGGGCAGCAGGGACAAACTGCCCTCGTTCATCTTCCCACAAGAGGATCCATCCATCGGGGAGAGGGGAGGCAGAGTAATAGACAGAGCAAGTGACTTGATTTTTCACCTTCACAAACAGAGAGCGATGATTGATCTTTCTTATAGAGAACTTTGTATCATATATATTAATCATTTTGTTGAATCATCTACATCTAATGGCCTAATTTATACTGTTTAGAAGATGTCACAGGCTTAATCTTGCAACTAAGTGATCCTCAGAGATCGCATGGTAGATTTATTTGAGGAAAATATGTATATGTGTGTATGTTTACTGTATAGCAAACACTTACAGGTTCTGGTTTACAGCCATATTTGGCTTGTTCAGACACTGCAAAATATATCACTGATGCAGAATTTGCAAAACTTAGAGCAAAAAAAAAAAAAATCATAATATTTTGATGTGACATTTTCAAAATTGGCCACATACTGTATTTGTTTGTTTGTTAATGGGCCAAAACACTATCTAAGAGACTGCTGATGTGTGTTTGCCAGACTGATTGGCCCAGGGGAGCACAGTGGTAACAGGTGAAAACAAGCAGATTTGTTACGGATTAGCCACGGGGGTGTTGTGCCTTATTTTCATGTAAATTGGGTCATTGCTCATTTGACCATGTTAATTTCTTGATATTCCCTGAAAGATTAGATCATCATTAGATTTTCTCTTTCTTTCTTTTTTCCCTTGGCAGTCATCAGTGTTTTCTCAGAATGAACCACAGTGATTTTCAAGAGATGAGCGTGGCTGTGCGCAGAATGTAAGCAGAATGCACGCTCTGTCTCTTCGTGGTTAGTCCTCATTATTCATTCATCCACTACCAGTGTGAGCAAGCTTAGCTCCAAGCCTTTATAAAATACTTCACAGTCCATACTGTTTATACTAAGGGTACATGTCCAGGAATACAACAGACATGCATTTTGTCAAATCACTGCCTCTCTTTCTTATTGTCCCTCTTTCAAGGTCTAACTTCTGAGCTCCAACCTCCAGGTTAAAGAGGCCAGTGTCTACTTTCCCTCCCAAGGAAATATAGTGCATTCCTGAGGAGACATGAGCCATGTGTGGCTGCATCTCTCCGGAGGTGTTTGTATAGAGAGACAAGGTGTTAATTTGTGTGTGTAAATTTCTGTCAAAACACAAGTAAACAAATTCCTTAGGGTGTACCTACAGTGCGTGTGTGTGTTCCTATGTTAATTTTGCATAGCTGCAGTAGTGTGTGTTTGTTGTGTGTCACAGTGTGGGCCCAGAGGCTATTAGCTGCAGTCTGACACATTCCACTAATATCTAAACAGGTTTTAATCCTCAGGATGATTCTCAGCCAAAGCAAGCAGATAATATTAATATCTTCTCGGTCTGTCAGTCACTCTGCCCATACGTCAGTTGTTCATTTAATGACTGTGCCATAACAGTGTGAAGGAAACTACGAAAAGCTCACTACTTATAGACAGAGCAATAAATGTAGTGTAGACACATCCACATCTATCCTGACAAACTTGTGATGCATCTGGGAGGAAATCATTTCAGCTAGCCTTTGCCAAAGTCTTACCATATCCTGACACAGCTAATCCTAACCACCAATCAATAATTCAGTCACACATGCATACAGCGTCGTCTTCACGGAGAACCATTCTTCCTTCTGTCAAAAAAACGCACACTCACGATTTCTGGGTTTCTCATCGTCCATGCCCTCCTCTTCATTCTCTGGGTCAATGTCTTCGGCTTGAGTGATCCAGTCTAAATAGCCCTGTATTCACACACAAACAAGGGAAATACTGATGGGTAAACAGAAAGATCAAACTTCACATCTGTTTGGAATCATAAGAATGAAATGTTTTAGAATATGTATCATGTGTCTCAATCTTCGTGTGCCCTATTTTTTTTTACACTTTTCCATGAGGTAAGAGGAGTGCTTGTGTTGTTTTGTAACTTAGGTAACTTCTAAGTAAAGTTTGCTCTGCTTTCCCTGCTCACTGTTACTGAAGGGTTACAGGTTACTGAACACTGACAGTACAATGAACCTAAGTCTTTGGTAAAGACTGTAACAGCTTTTCTGGCATGGGGACAACCGCATGCACACATGCACACACACACCAAACTACCTTGAGGTCTTCCTCCAGTTGCTGTTTTTCTCTGAGTTTCTGGAAGTCACCGCGCGCCTTGGCCTTCTCTCTCTCCTTGGAAAACTCTCTGGGAGGAGGGGAGCAGAAGAGAAGGAGCGGGGCAGAGAGTTGACGGGAAAGAGAGAGCAAACAGAGAGAGAGACAGGAAAGAGAATCTGAAAATCTTGACTAAGGTTTTGGCAAAATCATCATGTGACAAAAGTGATCAAGTTAAAAGAAAAGGATACTTCGGAAAGAAGAAGAGGGAAAACCCTGCCAGAGAGAAGAAAAGTTAAGTAACGAAAGAAAAGTTTTGCCACGGAAAAACGGTGTTAGTATGCAAATGCAGCTTTTGGTTTCCTAGAATATAGATCTTTATACCTTATTAATAATTATTTACATATGAACCACTCAAATAATGAAATACCATTCAAGCCAGCTGGGGTTCCATGAAAGATGATGAGGACTGATTCCATGTGATTCACATAGACAAAAGGAAGAACCAAATAAAAGAGTGAAAGGAAGTGATGCAGCAGGAACCCTATTCATTTAGGCTGTTGCACTGTTGATGAATTGTACCACCTTTTCTCAGCAGGGAACAGGTGATGATTTCTGGCTGATGCATGCTCAGCTAATATGATAAAAAGCTACAGTGAAAAGTCTGCCGATTGTAAAAACTTACTAAATATTAAAGTTCAAGACTTCATTTATCTGTACTGGACTCCCAGGTGGATCCAGGCCAGCTGGGAAATGGGATTCCTGTGGTGTTTTCTGGGTCTACCCCAGGTTGCAATGTGCTTGGTACAACCCCGGAGGGAGGCACAAAGAGGGCGCCCTCACCAGCTGCACAGCCTCAGCTGTTGTCAAATAGTTGGAGAGGTGGCTCTGCACTAAAGTCATCCTGCATCACTGAGCTCCGAACCTTTTGCCCGCCAACTCATTCTTTCAGTTACTACTCAGAGACATTGATTACAGAAAAAAGTTATAGGTTTGCACCTCACCTGGATTTCGGAGTTTTTGTGCACAAAGAACACGTGCAGAAAAAATAATTTAAGACAATTAAAACAAACGTGACCAGCGAGTGTGAAATATCATATCATTATGATGAAATTCAGTGAAATTGCTTCCAGGTGACAGGAGGGAAGAAAGAACTGAGGAACACTTGATTAAACGGTGCACTTGGGGAAGGTCAAAGACAGGTTAGAACCAAAGATCCAGTCTGAACAAAGGAAATTCATTCAGATGAGGGCTGACAGGACTTGGGAGACTTGGGAATTTTTGCAGTTAAAACGTGAACAAATTCATATTTAAAGGCCTGCTGGAAAATAAACACAGCAAATGCCTCCTTGTCATGAATATTTTACATAGAAGTAAACTTCCCTACGTTCGTTTTGAACATACAAGTGGGACTCTTTTTGAAGCTCAGGTTTAAGCGTTATCTCAATATTCCTAATCAGATTTCAAGCAATTAGCACAAAGGTTTTAAGAGAGGTTGTGTAGGCTGTTAGTGTTTCACTGCTCTCCAGAGATCAAGAACTGATGAAACTCTTGGTATTGTTATTGACTTTTTTTTGGTCATGTCTATTGGCTGGGCAGAATTCAAGTGTTTGAGGATATCTGTGTGAAATTTAGGGGAATGATGGAACCTCAGATTGAACTGCAGACTCCACACTCAAACCCACAACAGCAGATCAATGAGCATTAGGACAAGCATCTATTGTCCCACTTGTCAGAACATTAGCAGGAGATCCAATCCTATTGATCTGGGCTTGTGCAGTTCAGTGCGCATATCCTGTATGTGTGTGTGCGAGTGTGGCCTTGAGTGCTAAATCCTTAGGCTCCACGCTCATTTTCCAATTCTCCACTGTCTCACCTTTCTGTCCTCAGTCATCTTTTAATTCTCCTTTCTCTGCCTACTCATTCTCTTTCGGTCGAGCCACTTTCTCCATCCTCTCTGTTTACGTATTACATCAAATCCAGACAAACACAGTCACACCCTATGCCTATGTCTCTACATCCGTCACTCTCCTTCTTCCTGTTTAGCCATTAGTTATTATGCCAATCTGAGACCTACACACACCATGGAGTAACCAGTTGGTAAAAGGTCAGGCTGTGTAGTGAGCTGACAGCATCATTAGTCACAAGTCAGACAAAGAGTCGGACTACCAAACCCCCCAAGCTGTTTGGTACAGATAGACCTCTATTATTTTCCCTACAATGCTGCTGCCACCTCTCCTGAGGGTATCAAGTCAGATTCAGGTCAGTCAGTCAGTCAGGGGTGAGACATCTGACTCTAAAACCTGTTCCCTGGCAGAGCTGATTTTGGAACTGAGAAGTTTAAGATGTTTTTAGGTGGCAATTGATGTACTTCTGTTACTGCTGAATTTAGATACATTTTCTTGCATGTTTTTGTGTATTAACTGCTGGTCTATAAACAGCTTTAATCACAAGGGTTCTTAGTTTACATATTAATTCCTTAAAAAACCCCCAAAATGAAATGGTAGTTTTTCCACCCTGCATCAGTGCTGAAAACAGAGCACTTCACTTCACAATAGCACTAGTGCTATTTTACAGAAACAGCAGTGGAGCCTTGTAGTAAGAGAAACAATACCCAGAAGGTTTCAGTGGTCTTCGAGCCAGATGCTCGAGTATGATTTCACTACAGTCAGCTACAGTGATAAAAAAAATCTATGTGCAGTCAGCAATGCTCAGTTGGAAGAGTCACAAAGCCTCAGATACATGGTCTTGTAAAGCAACCAAATGGGACTATATAGAAACACATTCTTGTACATGCTTTGTACTCATTAAATATAAACGCCAGCAGCAGCAAGAGGCAGGAAGGAGAAGGAAGTGAAGAGATCCCTTGAGCAAAAGACCAGAAGCAAAATTCTCCAAGAGCAGCAAAAAGGCAAGAAAGAAAAATTAGTTTCAAACGACCTTTGACCCTGCCCTTACCCGCTTAATACCCCCAGAACCAAGTTTAGCACAAAGAAGGATCCGATGATGATTAAGGTGACAAAATAGACCCAGGGCCACGTGTAACCTACAGCATCATTCACCTAGGAGGCATCAGGATAGGGGGCAAAGGGAGGAGATAGAAGGATGGAAGATGGGAAGTAGATGGATGGTAAAAGAGGAAAAAGTAAGACAAGAAGACAGGGGATTGATGGAAAAGGCAGGGAGTGGTAGGATGATGGGGACGGGAGAAAGGAGAAGGGGGGATAAGGGAATGAGTTAGATCCTTGGTGAAAGTTCCCAACAGATGGAACCGTTTACCTCTGCTTGTTCCCTGCTGGGATTATGGTGCATTGATATTATTTGTTAGTCACTTAGCGTGCCACATGGCAAAGTATTTGGGCAATATGAATGTGAGAAATGATAAAGAGATGCCTTGGTGGATTCAGCGGGTCTTTTAAAACAGTGAAACCTACAGGAGGCTGCGAGTCTCATGGGACAAACAAAATAAATGAATTAATGTATTCCTGCAAGAAAAAAGTCAGAAGTTTAATAATCACATAGGTGATTCTACTTCCACTGTAATTCTTCTTTTTCCTCCTTAATCACTGGAGAAATAAGAGTGTAGTTAGACAAATGAAGAGACTGTGCACCAAGACTCCCATGGACTGGAAATAGACATCAAGTCAAAACCATTCTCTGCCGATTTATTGACAATTATTTTTTAACATTATCATCATTATTATTACCATCATGTGTGATCTGCAAACAATCTTTTTTACGGATGCTTAAAAAAATGCTTTTCACTACTCAGTGCAGCCTGCTGTTCCATAATTTCCATATTTAATGCCACATTTCCTCCAGACTCCACTCTGTCCTTATTGTGTTTTCCCTGTTGTGCAAGTTTTTTTTAGCATTCCACCTCCACGGCTGACCTGAGGGGTGAATTATTTATACCCCAGTGTGTCCCTGCAGACCGGGAGGCGCTTGTACTGAAACAGTGTGACTTGGCAGAGTGGGGTAAAACAGCACCCAGCGAGCCTGCTCGAGCAGTATTTGTTGAAACAAAACACACAGCGCAGCACATGCCTTTAAACAAATATAAACACTCTGTGTGTGCGCGCACAAATGTAAAAAAAAAAAGAAAGATAAATGCTAACTTGCAAGAGACAAACGTGCATGTAAGCTAAAAAACATGTTGGAACACAGCAGTGTTCATTTTAAGTTGAAATGTGTTAAGTTTTGGAAATGTGTAAATATTTGTGTGTATGTGTCTACCTGTTCAGCACAGACAGGTGGGCAAACTGACATGAACACGACAGATAGACGTGGGGTCACTCGCAGCTTTTTCTGAGTGCTTTTGTGTATTTCTTTCAGGCCTGTGCCAAAGGATTGATTGAGTGAAAGAGAAAGGGAAGAGAGCGAATGATTTTGCTCAGTTCAGTGATCATCATTTTATCTTTCCTCAACAACAGAGGACTACGGTTGTCTAGCTCTGCTTTTTCTGGTGGAATGATGGGGTGAGACTGCTGTCAGCACACGGCTCTTATTTGCATCTAATTTATTATTTTACTGGGTCTGTGTGTATGTATGTGTTAAAACATTAATGACAACAAAAAGAGAAATAATAAGAAAAAACTTGCACTTTAGATTGCATTACGGGAGTCTTGTAACATCGTCTTTTAAACATTTAAAATAGTAAATAAAGCCACACAGCACACCTACTGCACATACACAAGTGACAACAGCATAACCTCTTACCCGCTCAACACTCCCAGAACGAGATTGAGAACGAAAAAAGAGCCGAAGATGACAAGAGAGACAAAATAGACCCATGGCAGCTCATAGCCCATGGCATCCTGCATCTGAGAGAGAGAAAAGGCAAAGAGGAGCGAAGAAGAAAGAAAAGGAGAAAGAAGAGGAAGGAGAAAAAGGGGGAGTAGCACAGATGTGGAATCAACAGGTGGGTGAGAAAAGTAGGGAAAGAACAGGAAACATGACAGAAAAGGTTTTGAGAAGGTTGACAGAGAGAAGATGAAGTCACGGATGAGTCAGGGCGGTAGAGGTCAAGGACAGGAAAGTGTGTTAGAGAGAGAGAGGTTAAAAGGAGATAAAAGCAGGAAAAAAGAAAAGGAGCGGTGCATGTTAAAAGAGCAGCAGATAGCAGTGAGAATGGCATAATTGCATGATTAAAACTGACTATAAGCCTTTTATCGTTTGCTTGGAGAGCAGGCAGACCACGATCCACAATTAAGAACACTTTTGTAATTTAATGGCAAACCCTGGCTGCAATTTAAAAAATCTCTTTAAACAGTTCCACAGTAACTTAAAGGAAGACCTGAGGGTTAAGTAATTTCATCTTAGATTGGTGAATGGATCTAGAAACAAAGATATAACAGTATCAAGAGAGATTAATGTGGAAATTGTTGTGATGAATAAATGGGGTGTATATATGTAGCAATCGATGCTGACAAAGTGAGCAGTTTAGCATCCAGGATTTTACTTCAAAACAAAAGTCCCATTATTAGACTATTAGATTACTGATTAGATTGAGGTTGTAAATGCAAAGGTTAGGTTAGCGGATAATAATATGATAAGGCTCTTAATTAAAGAATTTAACACAAAGACTGGGGGACAGAGATAAAAAAGGGAGATGATAAAGGTGAAAGCTGACAGCAGGTTTATGTGCTGTGACAGCAGCAAATGTTGCATGTTGATATTTTGTAGTGAAAGTGTGTGACGCTGAAAATTATGTGAAATTACAACACAAACAAAATATTGTCAAAGGGCTGGTGCTTCAATCATTCGACTATTTAACATTTTACAGCACATCAAATTTGTTATAGGAGTGCTGTGTGTAAATATAAACAGGAAACTGCAGTAGATAAGCAGGAATAGCAGAACGGATGTAGAGCTAGTAACTTAACCAACAAGCACATACTGGATGCACATTTTTACGTGATATCCCTACAGTGGCTCTTAAGAAGACATCAGGAAACAGAAAAAGCACATAAACCACAGTGAAAGTTTAATAAAACACAATGGAAATAGAAAAAATTGAAGCAAAAGTGAAAACAAAAAAACTGAAAACTTTTGGGGACACTATAAGGTGACGGAACAGCTGCGGACGTGCCAAGCTAACAGTAAATAGCTAATAGCAAGAATGTATTTACGTTATTATATGAATCATGTGATTAAAACAAACATTACCTTACATCTTTTTAACCCTCACAACACCGATGAACCCTCTGGTTATTTTAAGTGTGCGTTGGTTTCTGTCATTTCTGCAGCTGGTTCGTCACGGTATTGTGTCCCCGAAAACACTTCTGTTGTGTTTTGTGGAAATTTCTTGTTTTTTCTGCTTCTACTGTGTTTTAGTCAACTTCTTTTTTGTTTTAATCAATTTCAGCTGTGTTTTTCTTTTTTTTTTTATTTCCTTGGTGTGTTGTTCAGCTTCTGTTTTTTTGCAGTGTTCTTCTAGTTGCTGTTATTTTCTTAAGCAACAGTCCATTTGACCTCTCAGTGCCATGTAGATCTCAAACACAAGAGAAATTTATTTTGCTACTTTTTGTAACTAATTTATAACCATTTTATAAAATGTCAAGCCAGAAAGCTAATGCATTTACTTCCCTACAAGATAAAACTTTCAAAAATACAATTGCAACAAAGCACTTAAAGCTGTTCTAAAGGTTTGTCCAGCATCTTGAAAGCCCTTTTGTTCTAATTTACCAAGCTCTATTTGATTTGATTAGCAGGGAAACTTGTCCCTGTGGAAATATTTAGTTGTCTGTGGCCCCATGTTTGCTCACTTGACACTGAAATCAAGTGTAGGGATTCTACACACGTTCTAAATGAATCTGCAGCTTCAATTACACAGTGTATTGTCTGCATTAACCTGAGATAGAAGCTAACTCTGTGTGTGTATTTGTTCTGTCTTTGTATATGTATCCACCTTTCTAAAACAAGTGTTTTTGTTATTGTGTTATACTCCTTTCTCAAAAGCACTCATCTGGCACTGATGTTACAGATACAGTAAAGAGGCTCCACGCACCAATCCCTCTGGTACTCAGTAAGCCACACAAACACAAAAACACTGCTTTGGTGTCCGACTCACCCAGTACAGCACATCCGTCCAGCCTTCCATGGTTATACACTGGAACACCGTTAACATGGCAAAGGCAAAGTTGTCGAAGTTTGTGATGCCGTCGTTTGGGCCCTCCCACCCAACTCTGCACTGTGTTCCATTCTGCTTGCAATGTCGACCATAAGCTCCATCAGGTGCACATGGTGCTGGCTTTTCCTCTGCAATAGTGCCTGTGACAAAAGAGAAAAAAGTGGCAATGGCCTTTTTTTTTTAATTTTTCAGATATCTTACAAATAATGTCTTTTTTGTTGCTTTAATGATGCACTGTTGAGGAGGGTCAGAGGTGGAAAATTAGACTGAATTACACACAAAGATCATTTTCTGTTGTACGAGGGAAAAAACAGCTCAACAAGACAGCTATAATTTATTTAGAAACCACAGATGTAGTGAGTTAAACTTCATAGAAAAAGCCATTTTTAGCTTTTACCCATCATGATTTTTAATGTAGAAATCAAGCAGCAGGAAGCCAACTTAAAAGTAGCAAAAACCACAGATCCTCGAAAGCCTGCTTGAGGCATGCTCCAAAAGGAGGTCACTTGTCAAGGATTCACATGTTACGATAACCAAATTTATAACAGAAATAAACATGTTTAGAAGCTGGTATAAAAACATTTTGTGCTCTGTAGCTTAAGTCTGCTTTGATGCCAACTGTAAATTTTCACATAACCCACTGTTTTAAGTGTATTTTGCATTGGTAGCACGTGCAAGTTTCACTTCCAATAACTCTGTAACTTTTTAAGATTTTGTCATATTAAAACATACTGCAAACTATAAGTTGCTCACTTTTTTTCGATTGTGTTTTGTTTGTTGTTGTTGTGCCTGTTTTTCACTCGTCAAAGTTAGCATCTCATGTAGCAATGCAGTGACTTTACACAGGCCTAGAAAGCAGTTGGCAATTGTCTGCTAACCACTGGCTGCTAGGATTATTCCTGGTTGCAAGAGGTTGCTGGCTTATGCTGTGAAATCAGCTGCTAAGCTCCAGTCATACATGTCTTGAGACCTGTCAGCTACCCCCTGTAATCAGCGATTGCCAGGGAAAAGTTGCTTACAATAGCTAATTGCAAAGAGGTTGCAAACAAACTGCCTTGTGATTGCCACTAACTGTGAAGACATGAAATATACTGAAATATGTTGATTTCTGTGGCAAAGCACCACTTACTTTGAAGGTGAACTGTCTCTGCTTCCAGTTTGTGTCATACTTTTTCCAGTTAGTTAGCATGTTTGCTGACAAATTGGAGCCTTCCATGCAAACTATGGGTGACAGCATCAATCTGCTAGCAACCAAAGCAATTGCAAAGAAGCTTTTGGTATGGCACCTGTTTGCAACGGAGTTCACCCTATTTGCCAGCACTAGCAATAGCAGAAGCTCCAAGCTTCAAAACTCTAGTCAATGTTTCATTTCAATGGAATATCCATGTACTGTACTATTTATGATATATAGTGGCGACTGGATCCTTGTTATCAAAATTCTCCTTGAGATCATGACTCCTTATGCTTTTGTTTACACAGACTTGCACTTTTTTTTATCGAGCATACTTTTTGAACTCAGCTGCTTGTCTTTTGAACTGCAGATCCCAGCAGGAGAGATTTACGCCCATCCAAGCAGTGCTCACTGAACATTTTGATTTTTTGCTACGGGAAGCTCTGTTACAGATTCAATCCATTCACATAAAAAAAAGAGGTTGAAAGGCTAAAAGGACACCATGAAATAACACCAAACAAAGGCACCATGAAAAAAATCAATGTGGAAAAAGTGTTTTACTAATTATACAAAACAAGCTCTCCAGGGTGATGTATAGGATAGCAGAGTATTCCACTGGCACTTACCCTGTGGAAAGCTAATGCCTCTCAGGGGATGTATAACACCATCATAATAACACTCCAGTCCATTATACCTGAGGCCCTTTGCTGAAAATTGTTTCAATCATTTATGGCAGCTGTTGTTTCAATTATTGCTGAAATTGTTCCTGCTCAGAAACATAAATGATGGTTTGAATAATTAATTGATGTGATCATTTAACTGTTTAAGGTTTGTTTGCTGATAAAGTTTTACTGTAGAGTTCAAATTTATGCAAAACTCAGTCAAACCAAAGACCTTGAACACCAAAGTTTGCACTTTGTATGTATGTGAATAAATGCTAACTGAAGCATGCCTGCACATACACTTCAATACATGCTTTGATCATGTATCGAAGCAACTGAAGTGTTGTGTGCCATTGGCTGTGTTTGATCGTGCATGTTTTTATTTATATCTGTGCATCAGTGCTTATAAATAGGTATTCTACAAGTGAGTGTTTGTGTGTACCTGTTAGGTTATGAACGCAGGTCTTGTGCATCTTGCCCATGAAGAGCTCCAGACCAATGATGGCATAGATGATGATGACGAAGAGGACCAGCAGGGCGATATGGAGCAGAGGAACCATGGCTTTGATTATGGAGTTCAACACTACCTGTAAACCTGCAGGAGGCACACATTTGCTAAGAATCCAAAAAGGCATATGAGAGTGTACAGAACATTTTAAAAAAGCATACAGTTCTTATAAAATCTGAGGATTGGAGACTTACTGTCATTAAAAATCATTACTGCCACCTCATATACCAGCATTGTCATAATGAATCACCATGCAAGCACTTAAGCTGGCTGTTATATTTCATCTGAAGCTTTAATATTGCTTTTGTACAGATATTCTACTGAAAAGTATGACTTCTATTAATTGTAGGCAAAGAAAAAAACATGGTATTTTTAAATGCAAATTTGTCTATGAGCAGAACACCTTTCCAGTTAAATTTAATAAATGCTTTGATGAACAAAAGCTCAGTGCTCTGCATATTAATAACTTAAAACAAGAGGAGCAAAAATATGTTGCTGCTGAAGAGGCGTAACAATACAAAAGGCAGTAGGAGAAATTGTGGGTTTATTTAACTGACTAATTTGTTAAAAGAAACTAAATTAAAACCAAAAAAGCTCACAGGCTTGCGCATATAGGCCAGTTTATCAGATTACACTCGCATTAATTTAATCAGTTACTCTTTTGAACTTTTTAAAACGCAACTGCAAAATTAGTGTGGTGTCATGGAGTGAGGAACACTTAGATAGTTGCTGGAACAGCAGTTTTTCCACTTTTCAGTCGTGAATAACTGGCATGGCTAAGACGTCTAGATTGTACAACCTCATGTTTTTCTTCCTTTAATGATCAGCCTTTAATAAAAAGATAATAAATTCCACAGCACATAAGCAACTGGACGCCATCTGTGCGCAAGTCAGCTGGCAAACACGCTGTTGATCAGTTGCCACGACTGCCATGACAGCCCAGTGATGTTGGACAGCGCGGCGCACAACGGCACTCAGCACTTTTACACCAAATGACAAAGTGATAGCTGTGCACTTGCATCCTCTGCATTTGTCTGCAAGTGTAATGCACATAAAGGTGGAAACACACTATTTTCATTAAGAGTGTCTTCACAGACAAGTACGCACATAAATCGTCCAGCTCTGAAAGCCTCTGCATTTCTGACAAGAAGAAGACTGGGTGTGAGTATATGTGTGGCATCATGTGTGGCGTCAAGCACCAATGCAAGCTTCAATCTCTGGTCCATTCCACCCCCCACAACACCCAATCACCATTCACACCTGATCCCCAGAGCACCATTTGTGCTCCTGCTTTTCTCTCTTTCATTCTTCTTTTTTACTTCCATAGCTCTCAGTACTTACTCGGTACTCCAGAGACCAGTCTGAGGGGTCTGAGTACTCTGAATGCCCTCAGAGCCTTGACATCAAAGCCCGCCGCTTTCCCTCCAATAGGAGTAGCCCCATCCCCTTTTGTGGCCTGCTCCAAGATTGCACTGAATAACCTGTAAGACAGAAGGTAATGACTTCAATAACCATCAATTTCACATTGACATCCCATTTCCACATACTAGAGAATATATGAGAGAAAGAAAACAATAAAAGAGATACAGCTGTAAAGGCCTCACCACAGTTGGTGTCATTATGGCCATGTGTTTTACATCTTTGTTTGCCACTTTAGACATTGTCAGTAGTGTTGCACAATATCAGGCTTCAGTTGAAATAAAACTTTTTAACAACTTTTTTCATTAATTCTATATGAATCTAAATGAATCACCAGTGGAAACATTGCAATATAAGTGAAATGTGCTTACAGCAGCCAAATTTGGGAACATATTTTTAGAAGGTAAAGGCCTGGTGAAGTCAACAGTGTCGTTTCACAATTTGACTCTTGAAGAAACTCGAAAGCAAAAAATAAAACAGCTTAGCAAGTTATCCTTCCAAGAAAACAATCGAAAATGTTTTATCTGTTCCTTCTGTCTTTCGCAGATAAGGAAATGTGAGGCATGTGGCTTTAATGATTTGACAGTCAGCTCCACAGATGCCTGTGCATGACTGTAGTGAAGAGAGCTGCACAGTCAGGTTATGTGGTACTATGCAGAAAAACTCTCTTTTAAAATGTCAAATGTATTTTTACACTGTTGCCCTTTTTAGTTATTACCCTCCATGAAAACAGAAACATCCAGCCAAGAAAGATTTAAGCAAGAACTGCTCATGAGTTTAAATTAATGGACTTTGGCCAAAATGTGTGAACACTTTACTTTGGTGAAATTCAGGCCTGGGACTGATTTATTATAGTTTGGGTTACTGACTTTTAGTCAGAGTGACCAGTAATTACCAACCTTGGGACTGAAAGGACATCATTACAGAAAAGGGCCAAAACAGCTAAACAGGTGCACTCTGAGGATGGCCTTGATTTTGGATTTGAAGGGTCACAAGCCAATAAGGTTGGGCAGCACCGTTTTACTGTAGAGCAGTAAAAGTTTGTGGTAAATGTAAAGCGAAATGTCGTATAACAGTGCCCATGAGTGCAAACCGAGGTCGATGAAGTCATAATTTCTCACATTGGTCTGCAAGAACTTGGGATGAAATACAACACTGATCCCACCAGGCAGGCTGTGGTGGAAAGCAGAGGCCAGTGCCCAGAAATGTCTTGAATGACATGATCAGCAATCACACTGTACTCTTCAGGCTTCCATACATATTTGTCAGTGTAAAGCAGAAGTATAATCTTCAATGAAGAGCTAAATATGCTCTTTTTAACGCTCCCCCCTTTTGTTAACTATTATCCCAATGAAATTATTGACATACATCCCTTTGGTGTAAGTGACTCACAAGCTTGAATTTATGTACGTCCAGCTGAGCTTATCGCTCTCCCCTTCCTGTCTCTGGCTCTCCGAGATCCTTTAGAAATCACCATACAATACCATTTTCCAGCTAGCGTGGCTCAAAGGCCAGTCAGTGGCACGTTAGTCATGGAGAATTATCAATTAGCACAGATGAAATGGCCACTTGAAAAGGCCTCTCAAAACATATCTCCCTCTCTCCCTCTCACACTCTCTCTGCCTCTCTATTTCGCATTACCTCCCTCTCAATTTGATTAACTCTCTTTTCCTCTCTCTCCCCCTCTCTCTTGGTGGGAAGCACTCCTTTGAAACTGAGCACGAACAGTACGTCAGAGATTCACAATTTTGCACCACCAGCATGTTCTTTTGTTGTAGGGTGTTTAAAGGTAATTAGAGCCTTGGAGTGTAGCACCACATTGTGAGCTGTATAGATCCACAGCTAAAGATAGTACCAACCGCACGCATTCAGAAAGAGAAAAAAGGCTGAGAGGTCTCACAGACGTCAAAATGTCAACACCGCGTCGCTTGAGAAAAAAATATTTACACTTAATTATTACAGTTTTAAAAGCTTGAGCATGTTTAAATAGTGATTCTTGAAGCATGTAAATAACACTTGTAGCAAAGTGTGATAAAGTAAAAGCAGAGTCTCTGCTTCACATTTAGATGGCACTACAGTCCTTGATGCACTGACTCACAACTTTGAACTGATAATGTGTTATGCTGCAAATACACATACTTTACACCTTTAGATAGCTTTAGATAGCTTTAGATAGCTTTGTTTGTTTGTTTGCTATCCTGCGAACAGAGAAAAATTGACTGACACATATTTGCGGATTTAAATAGTCTGTATATATCTACAGGTATTTATTTGTTCTTTCCTTTCTAAGTGAATTGCATTAATTTTATTTTTGTGTAGTTATGATTGTTTGGGCCTTGGCCAACTTTGCTCGGATCAGCTGGTTGTTGCGTTTGTGGTGTTCTAAACACATGATATATTGAAGGATGTTTCTACTATATCTCCTTTTACATTTTTTATTTATTGGCATAAATTGTCATAAATGCTGATATCGATAGTTAATATCTACTGATAATATCAGCCCACTGATAAGCCTAATTTAGCTCATTTTGGTGTACGAGGTATGTGGAGTTGCTATCTAGTATTACTATCCTTCAAAGGCTCTGATTAATAGTCAAGTCTCTAGAACAGTGATTCCCACAGTGCAGATCAATGACTGTATAAAATCTTTTACACAGTCATTGTGCAGGAAGGAAACCCCTTGTGGGCTGTAATGGTACTGCAGGTGAGCTTCAGTAATAACAGAAGTATTTATATTTATATAAAGGTATGTATTTAGATAAAAAGTGGATCAAATCGGGTAATAAGAGATGGTAATGATATTGATCATTACCCTGATCTAAATTTAATGCTTTTATATTGAAGGTTTCCTCGAGTTTGGCCAGCCTAAGATACCACAGTTTATTCTTAGTGTATAAATTATTTACTTTTTTTCTTCTTTTTTTTTTTTTACAAAAAGCTACAACTGACTCATGAAATATTATACCAAACCACAATACATTATATTATCTCTTATAAAAGCAAACATAGTCTATAAAACTCTTCGAACAAACTGTCACAAACTCTGCGCTTATAATATAAATGAATTGTTTTATAAATTGTTTTGTATGCGTGAAAGGAAAAGTTCTTTCCCAGCACATTTTGTCATTCATCTTCAGTATCCAAAGGTGTATGGTACTCCTGTGTAACCTGAACATATATCTGTGTAAATACACACAAGTTTGCTTCACAATAATTTCTAACATTCTCCAAACAAGAAAAGTTCAATAGAGGAAACAAATTCTTTTTTTGCGGGTCAGGCCATGAAAGTTTATTCACATCACATTCACTGTTGTCTTTAACTCGACAGCATGGAAAGTATTGCCTGTAGTGCCGAATCTGAGTGAAGTATAGTGAGTTTTTCCACAGGCTTTTTTCCCCTGTTTTTTTTTTCTCTTTTTGTTACAGTGTAAAGCAAAATATTCATTCAGCTTGTATTCATTCTGCCCAAATTTTACATCCTGGAGTACAGTAAGTGTCACGTGGTAGTTTTCTGACCCTGTAAATGCTGAACAAATGAAATAGATAATTTTTTTTTGCCTGAATCCTTCACTCTGTATTTTGTATTGATTACACCCTGAATACAAGGAGGGAAAGTAAAATGAAAGAAACATAAAATTGCATGGGGAAGGAGATGGACCTAATATATCTGAGGAAAAACAAAAGTGGAAAAAGTGATGACAAAGAGTGAAAGAGAGAAGTCAAAAATGAAGAAGCAAGGTATGTATGAATGCAGAGACCAAGGTTCTTAACATTTATTTTCCAATCTGATCTTTAAGTTACTAAAATTGAACGTGGGTCTTTTTTTTTTTAATTGTTAATGATTATTAAAAATGTGGATGGGGTATGGGGTACACATTTTTTTCTGTGTGACAGAAAAAGTTTGAAAACTGCTGAACTTGAGTCTCATTCATATTCATATTGCGCATGCACACATGAACACAGCCTGTTGAATTACTGAGCCTTAACTAATGACCTCTCAGGTAAGTGCCAGCCAAGTGTGGACCGTAGTATCTATGTGTGTGTGTGTATGTGTGTGTGTGTGTGTGTGTGTGTGTGTGTCTCTGAGGTTGCTCAGCACCAGGTACAAGCTCTTTCACCCATATGGTGAATAATCCAGAGGGAGTGAACTCTTGTCACTTCTCATCTATACACAGACACACAGACAGACTGGCAGTTAGATTCGCAAGGGCACAGAGACAAACAGCCACTTATGCACATAGCCACACAAACACCCAGCCACACACACTCCCTGCAGCTTGTGAAACAGAAGAAGTTTGTGTTTGTTAGCTTTTCACATCTATTCTAGTGGATTTTATTCGGTTTCCAATTCAGTTAAATGTCAAGTTAAAACTGAGTTTGCATATTAGTGGAGTGCTTTCTAATGTGTTAGCTCTTTAGCAAAGAAGTGGTTAGGATTAGGCAACATAAGCTGTTTGGGGGATGTTAGGAAAGAATTATGATCATGTTCACCTTCACGACTGATTTACATAGCAGCAAAAAAGGAGCATACATGACCTTTGCACGGAATTCTGACTACCTCAAGTTAAAAACTAAAAATTTTGAAGTTATTCAGTATTCTCAGATCTAAATCAGAATTGGGGGGGGGGGGGATATCTGAATTTGGAGACTGAAGAAAGAATTCAGACTTTAATCATCCAAGCTAATAAAATACACTAATCAAAAGTCAATAAGCTGTTTGGCATTGGCATAGGAGATTTGGTGTTCCCTCTGGGTGCAACCCTCATTCTCAACTCTACTGCTCATCTCTGCTGCTCAACTCTTAAATATGTTTACAAATGTGTCAAAGAAGAAGCAAAGTTACGACAAAGAAATAAACACAAATTTCCTTACATTTTGTGCCAAGTTTATATATATGTTCAGTGGGCCTAACCCTCTAGTATACATATTTTCTGAGCCTTTTGAGGCATCCATATCCAGTCCCCTATAACATTAATCATTAAATAGACTGATGTGTCATTCTGCATGACTCTATTTGGAGTCATGCAGTCAAACAGACGTGTATTTCGCCTTCTGAACTTCCTTTGGCAAGGTTGTAAGAGAAACAAAAATATTTGCAGGCATCAGTGCATTATAGTTGTAAATTAAATCATGTTACATTACAATAAAAGGCACAATTCACATCGAGAAAGAGACATGAACAGAGGGAGACAGACAGTGAGGGTAGATAACAGCTTAAGAGTGGCAAAGGTTGTGTTTATGCCACGGGCACTGGCACCATGTTTTCAGCCGATGGGATGTATGTGTGTGTGTGTGGTTGGTGTGTGTGTGTGTGTGGTTATAGGCTCAAGCCAAGCGTGTTCAGTTAGTGATGGCTAATATGAGTGAACACTTGACATGCAATGAACAAGACTCACTGAATGTGCATGTCTGTGTGTTGGTGTATTTACAAAGGCTTCCTCCAGGCTGAGGGTGCTTTCGTGCACACACACACGCACACACACACACACACACACACACACACACACATAGGCACACACGCTCAATTAGACCATCTTTATGGCATAAATGTAACTGTCAAGTCCAGTGGTCAAGTCCAAAATTATGTACACACAGCACAGCTGGCAAGGGGGTCACACACACGCACACGCACACACACACACACACACACAAACACGCAGGCACACACGCACACACAAACACACACACACACAATCTTAGGCAAAATGGATTTAGCAGATGGACTATGTTGCTGAGTTGCAGATAAAGAAAAACAGAGCAGAGCTTTGCTATCAGCATCTCACAAGCTAATCAGTTTAGGCTTCACCAATACACTGATGGCCAAAGTTTGCTGCAGCTTTAGCACAGATTTTCTGTGAACTAAAGAAAGCTTTGTCAGCGGACAATACTCCTCTCAAATGGCTACTACAGTAATCTTTCTAAAATACAACAAAATACTAAATGTACTCGAGATATTGTGAAAAAAGAGCATGCATGTCCTCAATCAGCTTCCTAATTCAGAATTACTTTGTGTGCCAGCAGGTTGGACTTTGCAAATCAAATAATTTTACTGTCACAAATAGAGAAAGTGTTCAATAACGCTGACAAGATCACAGCAGTTGCACTGATCCAGGCTATCAACACAGACAATTCGACTGTGAAAGATGAACATAATTTTGGCACAAACTGAACTTTTTATTTCAATGGTTGGATGTTAAAAAAACACATGACTGTCGTGTTAAATTAGTAAATAAATTAACAGACTTCAGCTTCTCACCAAGGCTGTATATTTGTCTCTCTGTCGATGAGACGAGTCGAGCTGAATTTTACGAAACCTAGTGGAGATGTTGAGCAAGGAGGAGCAGTAGAAGAATCTATAAAATGTTAGTGCAGACCTGGATCACTTTCATTAAAATCGCAAAATATGGGATTGGCCTTGTGGAATCTGTCTGAGCGCCCTTCTGGTTTTACAAACAGGAAGTAGAGTAAAAGATGAGCTACAAGAGAAAATATAGCTGCTTCTTTGCCTTTGCAACTGAAAGTAAAGAAGGCCACGTGAAACGCTATCTTACTGTAATTTTGATAGATGCTAACACTATGACTACCTCTTACATTAGACAGAGGCTGCCAATTGACTTGGCTGTACTTCCATTGGTTGACAGTAATTATACTAAGGTACTATGATTAATTTGCTAATGATGTGCTGAGGTTGTGTGTGTCAGGTAGCTGTTGAAAAGAGACTATGCATCACAATTACACAACTGAATCTATGAAATCTGCTTCATCTGTCAAACTTCATAGACTCACTTGGAGTAACAGAGAACCATCAAATAACACCTCGCAGTTTGTCTCTTTTCTGTGTGATTCTGATCGCTTACCCTACAACTACAATGATGAAGTCTAGCAGATTCCAGCCGTTCCTCAGGTAGGCGTTGGGGTGGAAGAGCAGGCCGTAGGCTATTACCTTCAGGAACGCCTCCACCGTGAAAATGATGAGGAACAGATACTCCACACGCTCCTGTGCAGACACAAACATAAAAAAGTCCATTTACTCATCTGAGGGGCATCATTGCAGCATGACATAAAACGAGCAACAGACACAGATAAAATCAGAGGTAATTATAAATGAAAATTTGAAATCAGATTAAATGCTAAATTCATGTCGCAAAGGAATGATTCAGTATTCTTGAACTATGTGCAGTAAATCTTTTCATCGTGAGAGGTGGCTTATTGGAAAAAATTGACATGCTGTAGCACTATTATATACACACGTTCATTCACAATCATAAAACTTTTTTATTTTTCCCACATCAACACTAAGGACATTGTATATGACTTGTGAGCACTCGCAGTGCTGGCTGCCTACTCTTTCAAATTTATCAGCCAGAACAAGATGTTCTGCCGCTGTTTATGTGGCTTCTGCTTTGTGCGTATGCATGTGTGTGTGCGTGCGCATGTTTGATTATTTATATGTTAACATGTATTTGTCTAACTTGTAATCGTGTACACAATCAAAGCATTTTGATTATTTAATCAAACTGGCTCTCTTCCTGTCCTACGACGTTACTGTCTGATGGAAGGAATGATTTCATGTGCACATGTATGCACACGCAAACACACAACGGGATTTTTACTACAGAGCTCCTCAGGGATTGTTGTCATATTGCCGACCCCAGCCTGACAGGGTCCTGGGAAATGTCTTGAAATGGCCTTGAAAGAGAGCGGGATCATATAACTTTCTGACTGTTGCAAAGTCGTAAACAATTCACCATCCACCTAATCTCTTTTCATATCTGATTTTAAATATTTTGTCAAGTTTTTAAGGAAAATGAGATCAAAGCAATGCAGAAATCTATTTATTTCTTGCTGTGCAAATACAATGTCCTATATAAAGAATTATTCAACATCCTCTTGCTTTCTGCCCAGTTTCTTTCTTTCTTTCTTTTGGGGGTGGGTAATAAAAACATGTATCAGTCCATCCATTCATTTTATTCCCTGCTCCTCCTCTTCTTCCCTCTATTTTCCCATGGATACATACACACAGCGGGCCAGAGGTTTGGGACAGAAGGCCAGGCAGGTCTCTCTAGGCTCCAGTCTCATCCCTGGGAAGAATCAGCTAAACCTGAAGAAGCTGTGTTTAAATTTACCAAAATATCTTCACAGGCTGACTGACAAAAGAGTTTAGGTTGGATTCCATCATTGACTTACATAACCACATACAATACTGATGGAAAACAGCTTCTAAATTGTCCAATCCACTGGAATTATATGCCTTCAAGCCTGTTATTTCCTCTGATCAATGCTGACATTTTTCTCCTGACAGCTACAACACTGACGTCACTGACTGTGCAACACCTGAGTCACATGTTGGCCTTTGTGTTTTTAAATTTCTTTTTGTTTCTGGCTTGTTTTGAGGCTCTCAAATACTAAATCATTTGCACTGAGGGGAAACATCTTTTAAAACTTAAAACTGATAAGGAATAAGTGATTAGCAAGGATCTATAAGAAAGATCTGTTTACCTCTGTCATAAAATGGACATGACATTGGTTTTGGAAAAAATAAAAATGTATTCTTCTGTAGATTATACAGCAGGGGTGTCGAACTCCAGGTCTCGAGAGCCGATGTCCTGCAGGTTTTAGATCTCACCCTGGGTCAACACACCTGAACCAAATGATTAGTTCATTACCAGGCCTCTGGAGAACTTCAGGACATGTTTGCAGAGGTCATTTAGCAATTTAAATCAGCTGTGTTGGATCAAGGACACATCTAAAACCTGCAGGACACCAGCCCTCGAGGCCTGGAGTTCAACACCGGTGTTTATACAGGGATGGCATTTTAAAACTGAATGCCAACCTTCTCATTGAGAATAAAATTTCCTTATTCTTTAATGTATTTATTTGATTGTTGGTGATTTTAAGGACAGTACAAAGAGTGAACATTCTCAAATCATTGCTGAATGAAGGTTAAATGTTTGTAATGGTGTTTAATCCAAATCAGTCCGATCAGTCTATAATCGCTAAAGTGTTTCTAAAGTTAATGTTTATGTTGGAAAAACTTGTGTATACAGTAGCTGCATTAAGATTAGATGTTCAGGCTAATGGAAATCCGAAGGCCATCCAGCTAAACAAACAAGAAAAGACTACATCAGACTCCCATTAGGCCAGTTGCAGTGACACTTAACACAGCAATTTCCAGTACCATGGGAATCAGGCATTTTTCTAACCACTGATCTCACTTTTTCTCAAGTAGTTTTTTCAAGTGTTTAAACTTGGGTTTTTTTAAGAGCTCTATATAAGAGCCATCTCAAAAATGTCTCATGAATCACAGCTGCCAACACATTACAACTGCAAGAGGCTGATAAAAAACAAAAAAACTTGTCCTTTGCTTTCTTTTTTGTTCATAATGAAGCGATTAAACTTGTAAACCATGATTTTTCCCGCACTTAGAAATGCTCAAGTAACTTGACAGTCAAAGAAGTGACATGAATTATAATTCTGTGGATTTAAACAGGTTGAAACACAGAATACGTGAAAGGCGAGTCGATTTTTAGCCAGGGATTCTGCGCCTCAGTCACCTGCTCAGAAAGCTGTCTTAAACTTGTTGTGCTCCTGCTCTCTACATTTCTAACCTTCACTCATTTCAATTCAAGTCTTTTCAGCGTCTTTTTCAGCCCAAAAGTGTCCAGCTTAAAGATAAAAACTGAGATTTTCACAGTTGACACCTGTTTTTTTTTTCTGCGTGCGCGTTTCGGTTTCAAAGCCGGCAGAATTGATTTGGTTTAATATTCACCGTTTGTACCGCCGACCCTTCACCGCACAGTGGAGTGTTAGCAGTGTATGCGGAAGTAATTAATCTCACAAACGCACACATCCTCCCTCTCGAATATACAAAAGCTCTCTATCACGCTCGCGCTCTCTCAAAGATACACACACCCGAGCTGTGTATCTGCTGGTGACAGGCAGACAGTGCGGCGCTCAGAAACATAAAACAAAGAAAAACATCTGGTAGGAACAGCTTAGCCTGACACACACACACACACACACACACACACACACACACACACACACACACACACACACACACACACACACACACACACACACACACACACA